GTGGACAGTGCTGTGTATGGAGTCCAGAGAAGAGCCAAAAAGCCCATGGAGAGAGTTAAGTGCATTTCTGTGGCTCAATGCAGTGCTTCACACAGTGTGGCTACCAGGGAAGGGTGTGGGGGAAGAATCAAGCCAAGGTGAGGCCTGCATTTCTGTAATCAACTCAACATAGGAGTTCTTAGGAAGGCAAGCCATTCTCATGTGAATTCCCAAAGTACAGGTCAATCCTTTGTTTTTCCAAATGTAGATTTAAGCATGTTAAAAGCATATGACCATGAAAGCAATTACATTCATGGAGCAAAAGAGCCTTTAATTAGGAGAGTTGGGGATTTGGGGTAGTAGCGGTGATTATAGTAGCAGCACAAGGAAAGACTAACCTGTGGGATAGGTAACCTGTGGGGTTTTTTGTTTGTTTTATTTTTTCCCCTCTAATTAAAAATCCATGGTGCAGAAGACTTTGAATATTATTCAGTTCCCTTAAGTCCCATTTATCTCCACTATGCTCTCCTATTATTTTCTAGTCTTGAATTTCTTTGAACAAGGAAGAAAGAACTGAGAAACTGTAAAGTTAAAAACATTAAGAAAGGAAAGGATACTTGGGGTCAAAATTTAAACTGAAAAAAGCCCCCCAAACATGTTCTCACCCACTTAAAACCTAGAGCCCTCTCCTCCAAAACACAAGAGATTGTGCTTTAGCAATTTAAAAAGTAATTTGTTATTTCACTCTTTCCTGTGTTCACCTGTTTATTTATTTTGGACATTGCATTGATTATAACATGCATTCTATGTGCAAAACACCATGGGTCAGTTTCTAAGAATCTCCTCAAAGTTATTTGCTTAAGACTTAGTTCTTGATTTAATTTTGAATCGGTATGTATTGCAAATACAAAAGGACAAGCTAAAGGAATGAAGTTGGGAAATTTGGTCTTTGGTCATTTGATAAATGAGTGACCTGTGTATATCACAGGTGTGTTATAACCATGTAGCAACTAGCATCTTTGGTTCTTTGGAGGAATGATTTGTACATCTGAATGGGCTCAACAATTTGCCTTTCTGGACAGGTATTTCAAGCTCTAGAGAAGAGTGACCTGGGATGTGGGGCAGGTGGTGGTCGCAACAGTGCCAATGTATTCCATCTCGCCGGACTCACCTTCTTCACCAATGCAAACGCAGACGACTCCCAAGAACACGGTAAAATGCCAAGCATTTTTTTTTTTTTTTTGTCTTTTTCCGTGTCCGGCAACGGATCGCAACCCTCAGTGT